GTGATGTCAGGTATCAGTGCCTCATTTATACTTTTTGTTTGGTTCAGGCAGTCAATCAACTGATGTGGTTTTAAGAAATTCATTGTGTTTTCAGCAAAAATCAAGAGCCTACTATACATTAGATTAAAACAAACTTGAGGTTATCAAGTCTGATATACTTTGCACTCTAGGCCAGTACTGCTTTATTGATTTATTAGTTGCTAAAGAAATTCACTTTCCTGTTTGAACTCTTACTTCAAGTACAAAGAACAGAAAATATGCTTAACCACCATGTCCTGTGCTGCCATTCTGAGCAGACAAAAGTCTGTACTGTATTACTGTGTTTCTTAGACCAGCACTACCTTTTCTGTTGCTAGCCAAACATCAGGTAGTTCTCATGCAGTACAGGTTTGGTCTCACAAAAAAACCTGTCTCAATTTTTTAGTTCACTGGTATTTCCTTCCTCTGACACACACTGACTATTCTTATTTCTTTTAAAGGGGTTCTGGCTTATTTGTTGGAGTGGACTTAATCAAGGATCAAGCAGAAAGGACCCCAGCCACAGCAGAAGCAGAGTATCTAATAACAAGGTACAAGGGGCAATCAGGCAGTTCCTCACTGTGCCAGGCGAGCACCCCATTACAGAGTAACCCTGCCCCTCCGCCCTTGTTAACATGGCCAACTGGCAGAAAAAGAAACCAGTCAGTGCAGAAGGGCATTGTCTGGACAGCCCACATGCTGATGCTTGTGAAGTTTTTCTAACTACATGCAAAGGTAAACATGAGTCTTTTTTTTTTTTCCTCTTTCCAGACTTAAGGAAGAATCTATTCTACTGAGCACAGATGGGCCAGGAAGAAATGTGCTTAAATTCAAGCCCCCGATGTGCTTCAGTATGGAGGATGCAAAATTTGTTGTGGACACAATTGACAAGCTACTAACAGGTAGTACAGATCAAACCTGCCTTATAGAGGGTTACTGTTGGACTGCCTTAAAGCCAGTGCTGAGCCTGCTTTTCCAGAGTGCTAAAACAGAGCCAAGACAGTAGATGCTAAGCACACAGGAAAATAAGTCTTAGTCAATTCCAATGTAGCCTTCACTTCTGAATTGTTCTGTTTTAAACTTCTCTAACAAAACTATTTACTCCATACATACACATGCCTTTTGAAATAACTTTGCTTTGGTAGAGGTTGAAGTGTTCATTTATCTGAACAAGAGCAACTGGTAAAAGCTGTCCAGATTCCATTCTTGAAAGCCCTGATCTGAGTGCATTTGCCACTTACTTTTTATAGAGCTTTTGCACACTCAGCATTATCCAAGTTAGTGAGAAAACTTGTCTCAAAGTCATGAGTTGCCTAATTGTTGCTTATTCTCTCTCCAGATATGGAAAAAGAATATCTGAACCAACAGAAAACATCCACTCATTCCACCTGAGCAGGTATCTTATACCCTTTTCTACTAAAAAGCCAAGGTTCCTAAACATAACTGCACAAGCAGCATCTCTGGCAGTAGAGCAGGATCAAGCTTCCTCAGAGAAGCTTTTACTTGAAGTTGGTTTGGAGGAATTTCTGGCAGCCTAGAAACATGGACCAGACTTGTGTACATCTGGCATTCACAGCTACCTTCTATCAGAGCCTGACACTTCTAGTAACACTACGTGTATTGATTTGTTTGCAAGCTAGGTCCAACGTGTCCCAGAAATGCCTACCACTAGAGCATGCTGTGCTTGGCTGGGAAGCTGTAAGAGGGACTGTGTTTAACCCTTGGCATGCAAGTGATATGCACATCAAGACAAAAACATAGCTTTCATACTAGCTGCCTAGTGCCTTAAGTGTCTAGACAGAAGCTGTTCCAGCTGCAGAAATGCTTCTCAGCAAGTCTTCCCTTAGCTGCCCTTAAGGGCAGGAGCAGTGCACATTCTGCACGCCACAATTTGGGAACCTCCACTTATGCTAACAGCATGATGAAGAGCTATAAACAGTACTTTTACTACTACAGCTCCTGTTTTGCCTAACATCCGACTTTGAAATAACATTGCCTTCTGTTCTCTTTAGCATTTTTGACTGCTTCATAGGATCATTTCAGGTTCATGGCTGTTACCTCATGCTTAAGCATTAATTTACTCCTTTACTCAGCAGTTTGTGGGCATCAGTAAATCTTAGTGTCTGTTGAGGTCCTCTCTATAGCTTGCTTCCCGAGAATATCTAGCTGCAACTCATTTCAACATATGCATGCTTGCAGTTACTTTGGTACACTGAGTACTTCTTCAACCTACTCTAAGACAACCATGTCTTTTTTAACACAGTGTCCAGTAAAACTCCAGGTACAGGACAGGAATGTACCTAATGTCATCAGTGTAATCATTGGTGGCCTCAAGCACCATACTAATTTCACAGTGCTATGGCCCTGAGCTAAGGAGAAACATGCTTTTAGTTCAGTGCAATATTAGTATAGCAGGCACAAGAAAAATGTGTTAATATTTTATTTAGCAAGTTAATGGAAAGACATACAGCTGTTTGTACTACTTATTCTTGAGAACAGAAAAATTATTCAACAGTGCCAGTTTAACTTCAAGGCCTAATAACTTAGTGTGCTCATCTGCAATCTAAACTAAGCAAGAAAAATGCTTTTATTTTCTACAGGAAACAAAGAATGCAAAAAGCCTCTTCCTAAGTACAGTACTAGTATGACACTTACATATAATGTAAGCGAAAACGAGGCAATGAAATAGATTCCTTTTAATGATGCTTTTACAAAAAAACACCCGTAACATTCTTTTCTTTCCATAGGTTTCAAACAATGTTCAAGATCTACTACTAAGAAACATTATTCTACTATAATAATGCACATTTAATCTTCATCCTAGCACGTCTTAGACCAGATAAGTTACCTTTGATTTTGTTATTTCCAGTTATCTTGTTATTAGTAAAAGCTTTAGGAGAAATAAATTTTACAAGAGCTTGTTTCAACTCTGGCATAAGTGTGGAATTGCCTTTTATTTAAAACAGCGTATCTAAAACTAATTATAAAGGAATATATTTCTAGTAGCTACCATAAACTACTTTTTCTAAATTTATGCTCTTTCAGGTTATGACTTTTGCAAACTGAGGCGAGCCAATGGGTTCTCTTGTTTTTTTTTTTAAATCTGCTGCTACAGATGCAAGCGCCATTCTAGCTGCCAGTACACACAGTCCTTCCCAGTCTCCTCTGACCAGTTTCAGTAGCCAGTTTAATAACAAGCTCCCTAGTAGCACTCTACTCAAACAACCATGTCGGTGACCAGATTAAGTCAAAAACTTCATAACAACAAATTCATGAGGAACAGACAGCTGAGGGCCATGGCTCCCAAACCGGTTCTTACAAAATATTCTGTCCTCAAGAAATAATCCAAGTCAGATTAGTAAATTAAGAGTACATTACAGCCATAAGCAACAACCTCATGTACAAGCCCTTGCTTCCACCAGCAATTACATGTTCTTTGTATCACAAACTTCTCATGCAAAGAAAAAAGGGAAAGCCAGCTCTGCATTTAAGTACCAGTATCCTCGACTTCTGCTTAAGGCCACATCACCTGTCAAGGAAGCATTACCTGAGAACCTACTTCCAAAACACACCAAAGTCACAAGCCAGCTGACAAACTATTGCTAATAGAGTAGCCAGAAGTACTGCAGCAGTATCATCCTGATACTATGCAAATTCCCAGTTAGAGGGCAAACTGGTTGCTAGAAAAATATACTGCTATCCCTTATTTCATAAGAAAATGAGTAGAAGTATGCAACAGGGTAAAGCATTTCAAAATTTTAATTCTTGAGACAGTAATACTTTTAAATACTGTACTAATTTGTTTCAATGATCTGTAGTTTTTATTTGCAACTAAGCTGGGCATTAGGTTACATACTCCAGCTGTAAAGTTGTCATGTCAACTATCAGATTTAAAATCTGATTTACCTTTTTTGTACTCAAGATTTCCACTTAACCCCAGAAAGTCTTACAGATTTTAACTTTACAGCAAGTTATTTCTTTCAAAGGACAGCCAGCAGGGAGCAGCATATCATATAGTCCCTGCAGGAATAGCTGCATCCCTTGTTAAAAAAACCTGAAAAGGTCACTAGTAAGATCTGTTTATGTCTTGTCTCAGTTAGTTTGATTCCACTTCTGGTTCTCATTTGTTCAAATAGAATGTATTATAAAGTTGTCAGATTTTAGCTTTAAAAGGTAAGTAAAAATCAAATTGGTTACTGCAGCAAATATTACAAGTTTACTTTGTGCAGCAGCACTTGCTACTTGTTTATAAATCTGAAATTGGGACTATCCTGCAGCAAGACAGGCAAATCACATGATAGTTATTGCCTTAAAGTAGTGGTGAGCTAGTCAAAAGGAGAGCACATTTCTAGCTGGCCACTCATCTCTAGAAAAAGAGATGTTTTGTTGGTTTTTCCACCCACAACTTTAGTGGGTGTTCTTTTAGACTTTTGATACATAAAAAGGCTGTAAAAATTCAGACTCTGCACTGGTAATATTTAATGTCTGTCTAACCTGTCTTTCAAGGCAGGTATACATACTACTAAGAACTTGTAGATAAGTCTCAGACTCAAGACAGTGAAACGTAAAGGAAGTGAAGCCAGCTTCCTGCACACCTCTTAGCTTCCTCCTGCAATGCTGTCTGAGTCCCACACCCTACCTGAAGCCTAACGCCTCTGGCTCCTAGCAGAGCCCTAGATGCAGACACTAACACAGTTATGCTGAGCCTCTGTGCTTGTCTACAACAAGAGCGACCAGCACAGCCTCCACAACAGCTGGGGCTCTCTGCCCGAGCTCACTCAACCTCCAGGCAGAAGTGACTGCAGTTTTTAGCTGCCACTTAACTGCAAGTGGGCCCAACTACCAATACAGCCTTCTAGTTTTAAGATTAAAAACATTTAAAAGCACAACTCTTCATCTATCAAGGTACTGCCATGAACTAAGTTCTGGGAACAGTATACTGGCGTTTCACTAATACATAAGCTGAAGAATGGCACAAGACACTAGATTACGCCTTTTTTATTTCAAAAGCTAGGATAGCTTCAATATCCATGTCATGGTGAATCAGAACACATGTAAAATACCTTACAATACATTAGATTCCAAAAAGGTACCAAAAAGTACAGTAAAATTAACACTTCCATTACAGGAAATGTATGACACAAAAACAATACAAAATAAAAAGGTGGAAAGTGACACTGGTTCCCTAAGATGCATCTCATTCTGTACAACTGGAGTAATGCAGAGTCCATAGTTAACTCCAAGAGGCAGTCCCTAGATGCAGAGCTGCAGCTTTAAGCAGACCCTCAAAATCAGTTTCAGTTTAACCTATTAATAAAATCATTAATTAATATCTTCAGCAAGGCTGAAATTTACACACCACACTGTCTAGACAACTAGTTATCTGTAAGTATTAAACATGTAAAACATTTCCAGGGAGCTCTTCCAAGTAAGATGCACATTTAACAGGCCATAGAAATTTATTGTAAAGTTAAATTTGGTACAGAACTGAAATATCCATCTACAGCATTGTATACAAAACCTATGCAGTCATTTTCCAAAAGAGACCATGCCACTGCATACCTGAATAAGTTTGATCAATATGGCTTGTAGTTATTCTGATGACCACCACGTCTCGGTGTCTTCCCATAATTTGCACTGCCTTGACCTATGAACAAGAGAACAAATGCATTAAACTGCTAATTAGTTACGCTTGCTTATACCCAATACAGTTCTCTTTACTTACTGTAATCATAGCCTGGTCCATATCCATAATACCCATATCCTGAATAATCATAGCCTCCATAGCCACCATAACCTTGCTGATAGCCGTATCCTTGATTCCCATAACCCTGGTTCCAGTAATTGCCATAACCTTGATTCCAATTTTGACTTTGAGCTATAGAAGGGAAAACCATCCACAAAATCCCGTTTTAGTACACACAACTTATTTAGAATGTGTCCATACTAAAGTAGTGTGTGTAGTACTTACCGCCGCCTCTTCCACCTCTGCCTCTTCCTCCATAGCTACCTCTTCCTCCACCACTACTGAACTGTTGCTGCTGGTATACTTCTTTTGGCTGTGCTACCTTAATCTCGCACTGAAAGTAAAAAATAAGGAAGAGTGTGTATAGTGTCTTATAGCAGCAGGGCCCAGCCTAACCACCCAGGAAAGCCAGAGGTTACTCTAGAGGCAAAGGAGGTGTACGTGCTGTGCTCCCTGTCATATGAGCAGCACCAATGCATAGCCAGAAGCGTCTGATTTAGTGTGCCACCTGGGCAAAGGTAAGTCACTGTCAGCCATTCAAAGCAGACCACTGCTTTCAGAGTATCTTATACCACTTATTCCGTACCACCAACTTCACCACAGAAGAGAAAGGTCAGTCATTACTGGCCACTCAAGGCAGGCGACTGCTTTCAGACTATCTTCATACTGCCTATTCTCTCCTATCAACATCCCCATGGAAGAGATGCTCAGCATGGCCACCGCTCCTGTAGGAGCCATGGGGCTGCTCTCTCCTGGCACAACCTCCAAGACAAGGCTGTTGCTGTTGGACCCCTTCACCTGAGCTGCACTGGAAGAACAAGGGTCTGAGAAATGCACCAGGAAAGTTTTCCTGACAGCCTTCGTACACCCTGTACACTGAGCATCTGTGTTGGACTGTACAGTACACCTGCCAACACCTGCAGTCATCACTTATCGAATACTAAGAACAGCTAAAAACAACCAGAACTGACAATTCCAAGACAGGTTCCCAAGCCGCAGTTCAAGCTGTCAGCCAACTTCCTGGTTCCTGAATCTGTGCATAGTCTGAGATGAAAGCTACTGCTCTGTGAAAGGAACAACTCCCTGCGACAGCAGCACCTGAGCAAGCCTGGCTTGGAATTCTTCACCACAGGAGCTTTAAGGTAACCTGTTCTTTTTATTATCACTGACAGAAAAACAAGCCATAGTTAAGAGATACAGGTATTGCTCAGCTCCCTTGGCATGTAAGCATTCAGCTCTCCTGAAAACAAACTTTATTGCTAACAACAGTGTCTTGACAACTACCAGTGCATTAGGTCTGTCAAAGTTTATTCTGTGCTGTGGCAAGACCAGTCTTTAAGTGCAACGTAAGTCACTGTGTCAGACAGTATGACCAGATCTGACAGGGCTTTGAAGTTAGTGTTTGGTCAGCACTGGCCACAGAGCAAGGGAAGAGGGATGCCTCCAGCCAGCACACATCATTTGCCTCCAGTCCCCTCATTAGCTCAACACATGAGCCTCTATTAGCTGTTCCCACAGATGTGCAGCCAGCTGCCCAGAGCAGCTCACACCACTTTTACAGCAGTTCAGCTGACCAGCTGCAAGTTGCCATAAGCATACATTGACTCTCTGGATCCTTGTATTGGGTTAACATGACACAGTTTTGGTAGCAGGGGGGCTGCATGGAGGGGGGGGGTGTGCCTCAGAGTAAACACTAGAAGCTGCCCCCACAACAGACAGAGCCAGTTTTAGCCAGATGCTTACAAAGTGTCTGTAAGCCTTACATTTATGCAAGTGCTCTGTGCTGAAAACAGGTGTGTATTTGTTGAAGTGGCTTACATTGCTAGACTGATACATAAATAAGCCAGTTTTTCCACATATCTTGAATGAATAGGATTAGATACTCCATATACAAAAGCCCCTAGAACACAGCCAGTATTAAAGCCCCAAGTATTGGCAAAGAACCTTGCTAGCCTCTGCGACTGAACTTACTGCAACACACCCCCCCATGGTAAACTGCAAGCTGTCCTTCCTGTCATTTTGGTACCTTCAGATCAGAGGTCTACAAAATCCTTTTCAGATTACAGATCTAGTGGTATGATGCTTAGTAACTTGGGACAAAAATGTACAAATCAAAGTTTCTACCTTGCTTCCACTGACGTTATGGAATTTCTTCTCCAAAACCTTCTTCACCGGATCCTCTTCCTTGAAAGTGATGAACACAAACCCCCTTCTTTTGTTGGTCTTTGGATCCATTGGAAGTTCAATTGCTTCAATCTGAAGACATTAAATACTATTTTCAGACTTGCTTTTTAGCAGAACAGTTAAGTGCATGGCATTTGGGACACTAAAACTGTAAGTAAGTTTCCTATCTATGCATATTATGCAACACCAAAGTTGCAATAGTCTTTCTATACCAACACTGGCTTTCAGACCAGATGTTTCAATTTTACAACTCAAATGAGATCAAATGGTTTGAGTTTAAGACAAGGGTATCTAACTAGCACCGGGAGCATCTACTGCAGTGTGTGCCTCCCTTGCTCTCAAGATGGGGAACCTCTGGATCAGCTATGGAAGGCTTGATACATCTCAAGTTAATTTAATTTGCAATTTGCAAATTATTAGTAAGCTAAACAGCAACTGGAGACTGTGTTTCAGTGCTTACTAAGATGCATTACACACCTCTCCAAACTCTCCAAAGTATTCCCTGATTTTCTCTTCTGTGGCTTCTGGGTTAAGTCCCCCAACAAATATTTTCTTCACTGGATCCTTTTTCATTGCCATGGCCTTCTTGGGGTCAATTAGTCGTCCATCTAGTCTGTGTTCTTTCTGTTCCAGAACCTGAAAGATTTTGACAGGATTAACTTAAACTGAAAAGTCTCCCCTAGAAGTTAAGAATCTGAAATATGAATCTTAAATTCACCTTTTCAACACTCCCAGGTTCTTTGAAGAGAATAAATCCAAAGCCTCTGGATCTTCCCGTGTTAGGGTCCATCTTTATCGTACAGTCGGTCACTTCACCAAATTTGGTGAAGTAATCTTTCAAGTCTTTTTTGCTTGTATCCCAACTGAGGCCACCAACGAACATCTTCCTGAAATGTCAAAGAGGTAAGAGCTATTTAGACTCGGGGAGCACCACAGAAAAGCACAAGCAGCAGGATGCTTACAGTGGTACACACACCTCAGCAGCACTGTCAGAAACAGGACCAACTGTTGAAAGCTGAACACTTTTGCATCTTATCAAAAGCGAGTGATACACCAGGAGTGCACAAGAGTGGGTTCCCCCCACCACTTCTTGAGGGAATGTACCCTGAAGTTTATTACAGGCTATAAGCAACAGTAAAAATTGCCAAAAATATTCCTCACCAATAACTTACGTTCTTTCAACAGTGTTCAGTTATTTGCAACAAAGCAGTATCGATTATCAAGTACTGCCAGCTCCGTTTTTAGAAAGAGCCTAGGATGATCATTCCTACTGCTTTGGAAGCATTCAGGATAAAATAACCAGCAAAGCAAAATACTTGAGCTCTTTTAGGTTTGTAAATGGTTGTAAAAATTTTAGTCCAAAGAATAATCTGCAAAATTTAAACCAGGTCTCTATGACCTCCAAGAACAGCTGCATACAACTGCAGGACTTTGGACCTGCCTTAACTATGCTGTGCACTTCTTCCTGCTTAGTTACTGAATCTTAGCTCCATCTTCATCAGTACTACTGGACTACCTCCAGTATTAGTCTTTACTCTCACAAAAGGCCAATACAGTACTTCCCTGCCCACATTCCCACATAAAGTATCTTCTGAAGCATCTCACCAAACTAAATACTAGTCAAGTGCAATACAGAAGTGAAGCTAACAAAAAAAACTTCTGTCAGTCAATAAGGTACTTTTGAAATGCCTCACTTCAAATGAAAACATTAATAACATGGCTGTATTTTCTATTTTCAGAGTTTCCAAGGTAACAAACTAAGCTTTTAAAAGCATTCAAGCCTTTTTATCTAACTATAGACTAAAGCAGTTTAAGTTGTCATTACTCTGTTTAGAGGCAACCTAGATTTGGCACTAGAAGCTAGCAGCACTTTAGAAACTAGACTATGTTTAAATAAAATTGGCTTTTGGTGTTTATGTGTAATTTTGATTTGCTAGAACTAGCATCCACTTATATTCAAAAGGCAACATGAGGAAGCAGCTGTACATGCTGTAGGGGTTTTTTTTGCCTTTTTTCCCCTCTTAAACTAGATGAAACCATACCCTTTGTAGGCTAAACCCTTATTTTTTTTCAGATCAAGCTATAAACTCTTAAATGGCAAGTGCAGCGTGATACATAGGGTCCAAGTAAAGCCTGTGTGCTTCCTGCAGCCATTACAGCACAGCCTTACAAAGTTTACTAAGCCTTTCAATAACAGCTGAAAGGAAACTTGATGGATTTCTTCTCATCACAACAGCTTACTGACCAAGCATGACTGCTGTTATCTGTACAGACTGACAGTGGTTTCCCACACCCTGTCATCATTGACTATACATACAGAACGATCAAGGGAAATTCAATGGTTGGGGGATGCCAGGAATTAGTCCACAGGCAGCTTTAGCTGCTTTATGCCATCGTGTTGGGGCTGTGGTACACACACAGATACTGCCACATGCTGAATTCACCTCTTATCACCACGGTAGATATTACACTTTGTAATTTACAGTCCTTTGTTTTGCAATTGGAATGATTGATACCTACATACATTTAAATAACACATAGAGCCTTTAAAATTAAGATACTAGCATGTGGCTCTGCCCTCAGAGGCCACGCAAACTGGAAAATTGCACTCTTAACATGTAGTGTCTTTTTTTCCCCTCCTGAGTGTATTAGTGCAGCTAAATCAAAGCATGTTTCAGCTGTTAACAAAATAATGTCACCCTGAACCCTGCCTTGGACAGCTCTTGTTATAGCACAGCACTAAATATTCCACATAGATCAACCCCTCTAACTGCTTTTCTTAGAAGTTTCATTTCACA